AAATTAAAATTTTTAAAAATAAATTAATCATTACACAGAAGAAAGAAATTTGTTTCGGGATTTGTCGCGGTCTTTGAATACTGACGTGGCTTCGATTTGCCATCATCGTTTGTTTTTATGGACTATAGAACCGGACTAGGGAGACTCTAGCCCGACATCAATTAGCATTATTGATCGAGTTGGATCTAACAAAAATACATGTTCATTTTCTTAAGCGGTGGCATCAATCATATTCCGTGTCATTGGGAATTAGGTTTCATATGTTCATCGCGTATTGAATTCTTAACTGCTTTTTAATAATATAGAAGCCGGTCTAACGCTCGAATATTGTGGGAAAACGAGTCGATTATTGTTTTCCGTTCGATTTCACTCAACTGACCATTCGAATATAAAACACCGATAACAATGTGATAAAAGAAGACGAATAAAACACATAAAACTTTTTCCCGGAATTCGTTTACCCTACCATTTATTTCATGAAAAAAGTAGCCGGAGGTTTCATATTGAAACTCCCCCAGAGAATAAAATATGCATTTTGGCGAAGCTTTTCGTTTATATAATAGAACAAAGAAACCACAATATGGACAGAATTATTTTTTATCAAGTTTTAATAATTAATCTTTTTCATTACTGACAACAAAACTTTTGTAACTACTGATCGTACCGTCAAGTTAATAGCACAAAGCAACTAAAATATGAACTGAAAGCTTAATATTACCTAATGGAGCTTTCAGGATACTTATTACTAGAATATACTCCATATCAAGAGGCGTCTTTTTTCTCTGCTTTTTGTATCAAAATAACTTTGTTTCCCACATGACAAAGCTTTTCTATTTAGACTGGATAATCAAAAATGTATTTATTTATATATTTAAGTGAAAAAAATAGACGAACTTTATTATAAAAAATTCCGAGTCTTAGCATGTTTTTTCGCTTCGCTTCCATTATCTTCTTCTTTCTATATATGCACGTTTCGTCTCGTTTGGCTTATTTATTGTTGACCTAAAGTAATTCGACTCCGGTCGTCCTTCTTATTTTTTTCTCTCATTTTCTCAAATTTCTCATAACCTTCTGACATCGTCTAAATTTTAATTCAAGAATTCTTATTACCAACTTAAACCCATATTAAAACATACTTCATGACTTGCACGCTAGCTGAGATTAATAGATTTTTTACTATTATTATAAAATTTCCAGAATAACGACTTTAATTAAATTTTAATTACTGCTATCAGACTTGGCTATCGTACCCATTTTTGTTTACTTGGAAAACGTTTATTGTTATTTCTGCGCGTTTCTAGGTTTTAGATAGTCTTAAATAGAAATATAATCCTTTGCTTTGATTCTTCGTGCTCTGAAATTCGATTTTATAACTGATTTGGAAACGACTTAAAACGGATTTAGTATTTGCAGAGATGTTATCAAAAATCAAATTTGGGTGTGAAACTTACAAGAGAAATTCGATAACGCAAACTAATTTAGATAAGGTCTGCTTGCACTTATTACAAATCGAGTAAAAATTAAAAGTTGTTTAAAATACCCTCAAGACAATTAAAAGCAAAGAAGAAAGGATAACGTAAATCTTCTAAGTGTGTTTTTATAAAAAACAAAGAAAATTAATGTCAGTACACATTTTGAAAGTAATTTAATTTATTAAACATCGTAAAACGAAAAAAAATTTCTAGCAGCTTGTTTGGAGAATTAAAAAACATTTTTATAAAGTAATGATCTCATGAATGCTTGGAATTTTTATGATGCAAAGTTATTTAAACAAATATCATCATGTTGATTCCTATCTTTAGTTGTGTTTAATCCAAATTTCAAGTAGTGTAGCATGCATTTGCTTAATGAATAAATAGTAAAGCAAATATTAAAGTCATAACAATCTGATTGCAGTTTATATAGTAATGAAGTGAATAGAAGATATCATTTAAACTGGAATACTAACTAGTATTTATTTCTGATTTTTTTCCTGGAATAGAAGAATGAGTGAAAAATTGTTTTAAACAAATTTGATTATGTTTTGCTGATCACTCTGAAATAATAGAATATATACTCACCATCATTTAACCTGAAGGAGTATTATATTAACTAAATGAGAATCTCAATAAGTTAAATGTTTTAAGCGTGACTGAAGAGTTTCAAAATAATGGTAGAGTAAAGAAAAGCGAATCACTTTCTTAATTATTTGTTGATATAATTCATTACTGAAAAGCACGAAAGCTCTTCAAATAGCGATCTCCAACCTGTACTCCATAAACCCGGTAATTCGTTTACTTTTAAAGCTTTAATTCTCTCATAAAAGTATTGTGGAAAAACCTCGTGACAAAGGGAAAAGGTAAAAGCTTAGTTTTTGTACATTAAAAATTTGAAAACGCATTTCATTCAGTAATTAACTAATTAAGAACTAAACAAAAACGTTAAGCAATATGAAACTTTAATATGTACTCGTAGCAACAAATTTTAGATAAAAATAGTCTTGACAAATCTTTATCAACAATTACATTAACAAAATGTAAATATACTTATGAAGCGCGGAAAATTAGCATACGCAACTTTATTAGAAAAGTTGGTTTACGAAACTTATTACAAAATGTACTATTATGAAAATAACAAAAAAGAGATTAGAAAAAAAAATTAAATTTGTTACAGTGTAGTTCCTGATTTCAATTTAATAAACTCCTCGTTTACATTAAATTATTAAGCAAGACGGTTAACCTACTTTTTTCCAATGTAACTCCTACCTACAAAAATTGTAATTCATCATACTTGTCGTGAGATAAGTTTGATCACGTCAAACAAGAGTTTGCAAGATCAGACCTAACTCTACTTAACACAACTGTAGTTCAAAAGCGGATTTGTGCAATAATCCAAGGGCCACAGAACTCACCGATAAGGTGATGTAAAGTTCGGATTTAAGCGGGTCGTAAACGTGACCCATATTCGGCCAGCGTCCCCTCTAATTTTAAATAAGAAAGCTCAGTAAAGTCGTCATTTCTACTTTGATGCCATTAGAGAGCAACATCAAAGTAAAAACCTGTATGTAAATAATTAGCAGAGATGAAGTCTCAGTGGCAGTCCATATAATTTCCACACAAAGAGAAAACTCTAAATTGAATTGACCTCTAACGCCAGATTACTGTTGTGGATCCCTTCTAAGATGCAAATGCATGTATAATTAATTTCTGCTTTACGCATTGGAAAAGTTTCCAAAACGATAAAAAAGACAAATTAATCTCTTGTGACTTGAGCGTGGTGAAGTATAGCATATCACAAGTAAAATGTTGCCGTTTGTTGAGATTACACCCAAGAAATCTTGTGATTAATGTGAAATCGGTTCGGAAGCAGGGAAAATTTCTAATGTATGCGTTAATATTGTTTGTTCATGTGAAAATGCCATATGTCACGCATTTCCCGTGCACGGTGGCAGTTAAATAAGCTAAATATCATAATATCTAGGAAATTACAGACTCTTGTGAATTTAAAACATTACATTGTTTACATTGAAGGAAATGAATATAGCTTGTAACTGTGGTAATAAAGATTCTACCAGAGGGCAGGGAAAAATCAACCATGTTCCGGGATATTCATTAATATGAATATTTTACATAATTTTCAGTCAATGAGACTCCCGGAAATGCAAAACTTCTTTTAAATTACACACCGACATGTTTCCTAAGTACAACGTAATTTCATTCATAAATAAACATTTGCATATTAACTCAATCAATACTGTTTCATTTCTGATACATTTTTTCTAACAGTAATTATTATTTTATGACCACTTTTGTCCATTTCGTCTGCCACTGATGACCAGCCTTTAATTAAGGTAATTATTCCTGAAATATTTATATCCAGACACGACATCCCACAATTGTTGATAATTGTTCCTTAAATTAAGAAAATGATTCCAACTCGAATCATATTCCTAATGCACTAATATTTTTATAAAAACAGATTTATTTCAAACAAATAAATGTAGGTAAAGTCAGGCGCGTTTCGTGTTGTGGGAATCTACTTGATGTGATGTTTTCACTACTACTTTATGCATCAAATGTTTTATCAACAGAATTATCTGCTGCTGAAGTACATAAAGTGGCTTTTTACGCAATATGCAAGCAGGAATTTGTTTGTGAACACTGAGTTTGATTTTAAATAGAATTTTCGTTATTTTGTTCTTGGGTACAAATCTTTATTCCTTGCAAACTAACAAATTTTTGTAAAGAACAGAATTTTAAATTTAGTTTTAATCCAAAATTAGAAAAATTGATCAGCATTGTGAAAAATTATAATCGCATTTTTGGAATGAAAGACACACTAAAGTTATCATGATTTTAAATAATTGAAAACACTGCTTTAGGATGAAATTGAGACACGTAACCACAGATATAACAAATAAGACTTAATTAACCAATCGAATAATGTTATATTAAATTACATAATTTGAGAGATGGATAGGAAGTTAAATATGCCCACAAACTGGAAATATCTATATTTAATTTAGTCTTGAAGTGAAGCTAGTTCCACATTTATAGTAATTGCAGAATATGGAATTTCACCACTCGATGCAACTCTGATTTCAATCTAATTGTCTCTCTTGTGCAACAAAGTTTTCATTTAAAAATGATAATTCTGTTTCTATTTAATTATATTATTTACGTATACAAATTTTGAACCAAATTATTAACGCTACGTTTTGAATTTCGCCGAGAACAAAACATTTCCAAATAAAAAGTTCTAGTAATATTTCTCGTCACAGTTGGCCATTGTGTGCGAGCGAAAAGAAGTAAAAATTATTATTAGCATTCATTTCACAACAGCATTTCACTTAGTTCTAAATAAAAGCCGTTGTTTACGATTGCATTTTTATTTGAAAGTAAATTTCCCGTGTTTCTCCAATGCTCACTTTCGGTTGTAAAATACGATTATTAAAAGCACAAAGTCTATACAATAAACGTGAGACGACTGTATCGTATAATAAATAGTCTGTTTGGTTTCAGGTGTCGTCACCATGAGATGTTCCCAACGTCTGATATTATTGCTAATTGCAATGTCAGTTTGCATGGGTGCGACGTCGAACAGTTGGAAAAAAAAAGAGCGAAAGAGAGAAAAGGTGAAATCTCAAAGAGATGCAAATCTTTGCACAATGGAAGGAAACGCTGCCGCTTTGCATTGCGTTTGTGTGGGAGGGTCGCCCCCTGTCAACACGACAAGCGCCGAATGCTGGGTATTTACCGGAGTCTCCAAAGATCACAACATTTGGTCTTTATTTGCGACACAGCCGCATATTACCCAGCTAAAGTTCCTCGTCAGGCCACAAGGACAATTCACCTTTATTCCCACCAAAGGTACTTTTAATTTTAAAAATTGATTGTTAAAAAAATTGAAAATATTTTGATTGGTTTTGCAGGATTGCGCCACTTGAACCACCTCAAAGAGCTGCAGATAATGTACGCCAGCATAAACGAAATTCACCCGTACGCCTTTGCGAATAGTTCGTCTTTGAGGGAATTAACGCTGTCTAGGAACCAGATCGTGGTGCTTGATCACCACGCATTCGCGCATCTTACCAACTTAACGGAGCTCTTCTTGGAGGAGAACAGGATAGCCGAGATACGTAGAGACGTGTTCGTCGATTTACCACGCTTGCAGAAGCTTTACGCGGCTCACAACAATTTGAGTGTGATACAAGAAGGAGCATTTAGACATCTCGCTCATCTCTTAGAGCTAGAGTTGGACACGAATTATATAAGCGTGTTGACCAGAGACACGTTTACAGGACTCGGCGAGCTGAAAAGACTTGATCTCAGCTATAACAAAATCAGCATGCTCGGCGATCTCACTTTTTCCGAGTTGTGGGTTCTGGAGGTGAGATTTCATTTTTATTTTTTCGAGGGAACAAATGCGCTGTAACCACGTTAGACACGTCATTTTATTTTATAAACGGGGAGATGTATGCTTTGATTGCCGGACTGAGATTTACAATGAGTATGCAAATAAGTCTTAGTTTATGATCCGTGCAACACAAGTTTGGTCATTAAATTAGTAAATAGCGAGGTACGATGTATTTCTCAGACGCGGACATCCTATAATGCAAGCAGAGAAGTTATGCCACGTGGTGTTGCCGCTTTGGATGTGATATACTGCAACAAAAACATTTGGTGAGAATAATTTTTATGCCAATGCGCAAAAAGTAAATCCTCCTTTATAAAAATTGAGTATTTGTAAATATTTATCATTGGAAGTTATAGACACATTTTACAAACATTTTCAGTTTTATTCAATAGGTATTCTAAAATAATGATTACGTAGAATAATTACTGTAGTAAAATACTACAATTAAAACAAAAATAAATTTATTTAGCTACTTTGTAACAAACATGCTTTATTGATCTCACATCTTTGTTTTCTCTCGCGTTGATTAAAATTATATCAACTTACTATAAAATAATGTAAAAGTTGTTGACTCATATCATAATATAGATTCTTTCAAGCAAGTTTYTTGCAGTTCAWTCAATTATTGTGTTTCAACGAACTTCAAATGCTAGACAATGGCTACAATCTTTACTGCAAATCCACTCAAGAAGAAAACTCTCAAGAGTTTTGTCTTCAAAAATTTTATTTACGTAGAAATAAGATTAGTAAGAGTCACAGGCTTTTCTTTTGGTGTAATAATAAAACGATTTTATTAAAAAGTTAGTGTTGTTTGATAATATTAACACAGCATTAATTTAGCGTTCAAACTTTGTACAATAACTTTAACAAGTATTTACCGCAAGTGTTAAGTGCTTTATAATCTTAAAATCAAAAATGGTTTCAATCTACTTATAAGCTTAAGTTAGGAAGTTACCGATATTTATTTCAGACTTTATTTGTAAATGTTTTTAGAAGATTTCTGGCGCATCCACCATCTGACTGCATTGTACATACATTTTTATGTAAATTCGAGTACATTTTAAGAATGTATCCCAATTAAGTTATTTATAGAGTTGTTCGTTTAGTGGCCTATTATAAAAGTTTCTCTATTGTGAGGTGGTCATTTATGTTTCTATTGAAAACGAACCACAACTTTTAATAAAGCAGTCTAGAATACCATTCAAAAATTTTGATAGCCCAAACCAATATGAGCTTCCAACCATAAAAACTTGTTTCCCACTATATAGGATACATATTTTGTAATTAGTTAACTAATAGTTTTATAGTGAAAATCATTAATTATGATTTTATAATTTTGTCTGTTTATTATTATTTAAATATAAATCTAAATGATATACAATAATAATAACAAACGGCTTTTATTCAATTGTATTTTGCAATTCATTGATTAATTAAAAACTTTTAAAAGAGATTTTTTGAAAAATATTTTTTACGTCTAGATAGATAGCAAGATTGCAATTTAATACTTAATTTAATCACAGTGACTGGCATCGTGTCAGAATGCTTCATTATGATGATAAATTTTTATGCATTTTTGGCATTTGTCGTAAAACTCCTCGTTCAACATTAATTTCAATAATTTCTCTCTCAACMTTAATAAAAAMAATTGTCTGTTGTAACGGGCTAATAATAATTATTAGCGTTTTTGTTAAACGAGTAACGTGGGTCATTCGTGTTGGGTTAAATAAAGTAAATATGCGCATTTAGTCGACATACTTGAAATTCGAGTGCTAACTGGTAATATGCTGCAGAAATTGATTAAACTGTATTGCAGATGCGGAATATTTGAAATAGTTTGAAGCAAATGAGCGCTCTTTAATTAAAACTATCACTATAGTTACTGYTCAAATATTATTAATTAGAGCGTACTTTGAAAAACACATCATTAAATGCATGCGTGGATGGAATTCGATGAGTACTCTTTAGTCGGTAAAAATTTTGTCGACTCATTCATGTTCGAAATATGTAAGAGAAATTTTGATTTTAATTAACATTTGCGAATGTCGTAATTAGTTTATTATTCTACATAAAATTCAATGTGATGAATCTCTATTGGCAATTTTATGTATCCAGGAAAACATCTACTCTACTAAAGATCAAATGGGCTGTACTCAGTTTGAGACTTGACATAAAAAATTACAATAAAACATGTCTCGTTTTTTATTTTGTTCCCTTCAGAATGTGTAAACGCTTGACTTATTTCTCACTATTTGAAGTACATGCTATTGAAAACAAGGCAAATAAATATTTTATGACCAATTAATTAAAATGTAATCATTTGATGTGACATTACTAAACTACAAATGTTTCCATTAATTTTATTTCAAATGCTATTGCACTCTGAACTACAGTTTATGTCCCTTAATTGTGCGTTATCTAAAAACACTTTACCATACTCAAGATGAAGAAATAAAACAAAAGTTATAGACAAATGGGCATGAGAAAAATTGATGACTTGTATGTTTTATCGATAAATAGAGTCAGTTTTTTTTTAAATGGAAATGCCAAACAGTCTTAACGTTGGCATCACTAGTAAATTCATTCATGGTAATTTTAATAAAGGAAGTTGGCAGTTCCTGTTTTTTGAATTAATTTGAAAACAATGTCATTAAACGTCAACACAAAAAATCGTCTAAGAAAATTTAGAGACTAAACACCAAAAAAGGAACAAATTCGGTACCGCTAACAGTTTTTAGAAATATGGAAACGAATGGTTCGCAAGCAGAGAGTTAGAAAAAGGGCCCGTTAACATGTAGACGCAATTTGTAATGCAGGTTTGCTAAACATTCTCAATTTTTAGCAAGAAATTGACAAGAACACAAAATAAACATGAATGAAAAAGAACCTCGGAAAAAACGCAATTAAATTAGTGTCTTGTGCATCGTTTTTGAGGAACGAGTGGAAAAAGTAACAATTTTGAAACTAAAGCTGAGGAAGAATTTATAAAATGCATCAACTTTGAGCTCATTTCAATAAATTACACAAAATTTATTGCCAAATCATCATAATACCCACTTGTATCTAAATAACTTTTTTCTGTATATACATCCTTTTTCTTCAAAGTGTTTGTAGCAAGAATCTTATTTTTATCCACAACATTGTACTTACTTGCGGTGTGTTTCTGTCAAAATTATTAGCACTGAATTCTGTCTTTAGACTTTAGGTAATGATGTCTGTCCTCAGGTATTCAATTATAGTGCTTTCAAACAGCAAACCGGCACACAAGATTCATAAAAGTCAAAATTTTGACAACATCTCAATTTGAACACATAACCATAATTTTTTAACAAATTTTCTAGGGACAAAAACAAAGAGTAAACAAAATTTGTGGCTATGGAGACAAGCTGCTACCAATTTTTTCACCAAAATTTTGACTTGGTAATTTCCATTAAAAAAAAAAACAAACTTTATATATATTTTAGTTTTTAAATTAACTAAGTTGTGGTAAAAGCCGACAGAATGTATATGCAAGAATATAAACAAATTGCCTGATCGACGTTCTAAACTAGACGTTGTATTTATTAAGTGGCGTCGTTTGACGTTAGTGCCTTTGTTTGCAGAAGGGTCATGTTTCAGTAATTTTATCAAAACTCCCGCTATATCGTTGACCAAGTTAATTAAACGTTGATGCAAAAGCTGTGTACCTATATATCAGCTTTTCAAGTATATTCCTATACGAGCGTCAGCTGCAACTGCCAATTATTGCGGACTTTTCCGGTGTTCAATAAACCCAACACATGATTAAACTCGTTAAGAAACAAAATCGTCAGACGTATTTTTCTTTTCTTGTAAAAACTTAATTAAGAAAGTGTGCGCTAGTAGAAAATTGTCCGTGTGCACAAAAGAGAAGTTAAAGCAATCCTGAGATATTTCCCTCATGTTCAACAAAACAGCTCACCGGTCAATATGTGCAACACTAACCACGTTTAGTTTAATCTACTCTGAATATTAAGCCACCGATTAAAGTTATTGACTGCTTGCCTAATTAAAATTGCTTCGGATGAAATTACAAGGTATGACTATATTTTACTACCGAAAGAGCCACAACAGACGTCTCTTTTGCCGTCATGTGAATTTTAAATGACAATCACGGCAAAGCTGCGGTTTAAATTTATTGTTTTAGGTGACATAAACTGCTCTAACGAATTTTAATTTTAGCACTTTAATTTGATTAGCGGCTTTTATACAAGAACTTAATAGACTTTATCGGTAATTTTAGAGTAATTATGCAATGAATGAGTTCTTTTCTTTCTCATTGATCGGACCAAACAATACGACACTGTATTAAACAGCCTTAGTTCTGATAAATTTAACCAGTAATAATTACAACAAAATCTTGGCCAAATTTTTTGCCGCAATTTAATTATTTATTTGACAAGATTTATTCTGCGTTATTGTTACAAACACGAGAAGCAGCTAAACGAGCTTAGGTGGGCTAAAACTGCGGATTTTAAAAATCCTACTATTTTGAATTTTCCATTTTAAAACAATAAAAATAAAATACTGTTTACGTCAGTTTCACGTTTTTCTAACTGTAAAATTTTCAATTTCAAATTGAAAGACTTCAGTTTATATCGACGAACTGGGTCAGGAAAATTAGAAAGATGTTCTCTTTAAGCATTTCTATTTCCAAGTGATTTGCTAGCTTAGTTGTCAAAATAAAAGTTTTCAATAGAAGAAATCATAAAATCATAATTACGTCTAATATTTACGTTTATTATTTTTACTGTTTGATAGAAGGATAATTAGCTTGCTTTCAAACTACAAACTTGTTGATAAAAGGGCAAATCACAAAATAAAGTGTTGTCGAACAATAATCAGTGTTTTCCGGGAAAAACAGGAAAAGTTTTCTCACGATAAGACTAAGTAGAAATCTCTAATTGACTACCGTAGTAGAATTATAAACAGCTCAGTGACCACTAGCAGTGTAATTAAACAGAAGTTAGCCGGAAGGTCCCAACAGACAAGAACAGAGCTAAGAATATTTGTTCTCAATAATTTTGTAAGATAAAAATTTACTTGGGATAATTCAAAAATTTTATTTTAGAAGTTTTTTGACGAAAAATAGTAATAATTTATCACCCACTCCGTATTGAAATATTGATTTCATCTCAGTCATCTGAATAAATAGATGCGATAAAACTTTTGCAAAAAAATATAAACAAAAAACCCATTCCCTCTTTATGGCATGACATTCCGTCGATCCCCCAGCCCATTTTTCTTTTTCCTCGTCCCTTTAAAGCAGTGAAAACTTAGGAGATGCAGGCGGACACGCGTGCGAAATCGATCTGTTTGCCTAAACCTTTCAGGTGTAAATATTTAAATATTCAACTTGTGAATGTTGTCGAATAAACAACAATATTCCCTGCTCAAGTTGCTGACAATTCTGGTGTTGCGAACTAGAAACTTGACTTAATTTCACCCACAATGTGACAACCACAAACCCATAAACTATCCAACTTTCACAAACGTATCATCCTTTGTTCTTCATGCACATTCGAAAACAAACTATAATTAAAATCACGAAACTGGATTTCGAACGCCAATTGAAGAATCTCGAGCGCTTTGCATGCGAATATTTCGTGAATTTCTTTCGAGTTCAGCGAAACGAAATATTCGGCGTTAAGTGGTGGAAAAATACATATCAGGGGATTAACGCCAGTTTTAATTTATTCTCATGAATAGATTAAGGGATTATTGAGAAATCTCATTATTTTTGATTTCATATCCCTTAGAAAAATCTAAATGAAATTCTGTTCTGTTTATTTACGGTAAAATTGTTTTCATAAAGTTTTAGTTATTTTATTTGTTGAGAGGTTTAGGGAGCTATATTAAACAAGTAATGAAGAATACAATATAGGAGAGCTTTTTTGTGTGAAATGTAACATCACAGTCGATTTAAACAAACAACCTGTCGGTGCTATATTCTAATTTTCCGATAATTTTGGTGTCAGAGCTGCCCAAGTTTCATAAAATGAACAATAAAAGATGAAAATTTAAAATGAAGAGTTCAACTACAATATTACACAAGAGTATTAAAATACAATCACAGATAGATACATATTGTTTCTGGTCAATGATTCTCTAAATTCTCTAATTAAATGAAAACAAAAATATGAGCCATAGAATATTTGTATAATAAAAAATAAATTTCACATTAATGTAAACATGGTTCAGTTTTATGTTTTAATCGCTTCATTTAAAAATTGTTTATGTATAAATTTCCATCGTATTAGTAAAAATATTTGCTTTTGATTTAAATCCTGCACAATCAGATTTTACTGCACTGCATGAATGGTCCTAAACCGAAACTACATTTAATAAAGGATTTAGAATTACCACAACTGTTTAAAATTGTATTTTGAAATAGCTGAATGCACAGTATTTTGGATAAACAAAGCAAGGCAGACATTTTGTTGTAAACACAAAACTAATATCTTAATTAACAACCTCCAACTAACCTACATATTTAAAAAATTGACTAGCGCACGCACGCACATTAATCTAAAATTACGATCAATATTATATTTTATAAGGCAGGTATAGTGACGTAACTTGTGCACTTTAACAAAATAATAAAGTTTTATGGAAAAGATTGCTCACTTTGAAACTGTGAAGGAAACCACAAAAAATAAAAACTTAAGCGAGGATAATAAAACTTTCTGAGACTTATTACAATTGTTTAAAAGTGTTTCTACATTTTTATGTAACGTTCTCTATGTTGTCATCGTATTATTCATAAAAATCGCAATCAACGTAAAAACAACTTTAATAATGGTTGTTTTAAATTGCTTTATAAAAACACGAAGTTGAAATCATATGAAGCTTGCAAAAAAAGCAAAATTGCAAATGGCAAAATAGTCATATTAGGCTTTAATTTCCGTTAGAAGATTTAATATGATACGAGTAGATTATATTATTTTATTTATATACTTCATCAATTTTGGTTTAAATATAAGTGATTAATAAATTAAAGAATTAATATTTCTGTTTTATTATAGGGGGTTCCATTTTTATTGTTACAAATTTAATCAGGTGATAGAATATTCACTTTTAAGATAAAAGTTTCCTTTAAACATGTATCGAAAAATGTTATATAAAGGAGTTACATCCCTTAAAAGGGGTGCATCTTTTAATGGATTTTTTCCAATATTTTAGAAACCATTGTAGATAAAATTACAAAATTTGTTACAACTGATAACCTTTTTTATACACATAAATTCAAAGATAAAATATCGAAATTTTTACTCAGGAGCGTTCTAAACTGGAGGGGTTTAAGGTAAAACGTAGCCTAATTATTTTGTCTATGCCACTTTCAGCCACAAAATTCTAAATTTCATAGTTTTTAACAAGAAAGAGGTCACTTGCGTTTTTTCGATACAACTTACCGTTTTTGAGAAAAATCAGTTTACAATATGTGTTACAGACCATAAACTAGTTCATAATTTTAAATAACATATTTTTTTGTTAAATTGCGTATTATGTATTTTCAAATATTAATTAAAGAGTGTAATTCAAGTTTATTTTGATCAAATAAGTATTGTAACGTCTTTATAAGTAATGAAATAGTGGCTCGGGGCGTTTTTTATAATCCAGCCTCTATATGATGAAATTTATGAATGGATTGATTAATTAATTTTTTTTTGTTGCTACAAATTTTTGTATGGTTTCAGGAACTTCATTTGGAATACAATCAGATCGAACTGGTATCAAATCGCGCATTCGCTGGCTTAAATCATCTGCGAAAACTTAGCTTGAGCCATAATCGTTTGGCTGTTCTGTCAGGAGGACTTTTAGGAGGCGTTCCCACCATAATCTATCTAGATCTGCGATCCAACTATCTCGAGACGATTACATACGACAGCGTGCAGCCCATCATTCATAATCTGAAAAACGAGAGCAGCCACTTTTACATAGCAGGTGAGAATTTAAATTTGCCATTTTCTCCCGCCAAATTAACTTGTGTGTGTTTTGGAGAACACATCAAATGTCTCAAATTTTGAATGAAAACTAGCCTCTATTTTCAATGAACACTGACATGTTCATTGTAAAGAGGTGCTCGTAGGTATTTGTGAAATGACGTGTCTGCCGGATACATGATACTACTATAAATTTGAACACGCTATCAAAACGTTGAACGACATACTCAGCTAATGTATTCTAATAGCTGCCAATAACACAAAGTTAAAAATACACTTGCTTTAACACTTAACCGGGATGGTATTAAGGTCGTATGGCACTTTAGTTAATGTTACAAAAGTATCGATTCAAAAGGATGCGTAAGAACCTCCATCAACAAGAAAAGTGTTTACCTCTTAGCTTTGTACTTTGATAACAATAGTAATTGCATGGCGGAAATAAGTTAAAAGAGCTTGAATTTGTCTCGCGTTGACCTTTAGGTAAATCCTAGTTTCTCACTCTAAAAACTAAATGCTAATTGTTTTTCATTTGGCTGCTACTGTTTGAGAAGCAGTAATACAATCGATAATTGATTTAAATGTAATCAACAAAATTTTTAATTACTTTGTTTGAAATCAAATTGGGTAACATTAGTTTGTGTAGGTTGTGTTCTCTAAGCATGTTTTATGTTAATTAAATGAACTGCAAGTCCAGTAAACATGTTACACAATATGACCGACTGAGGTAAACACTAATAATAACGTAAAATTCACAGAATTGGAAATGTTGTCAATAAATTGTCTGTATATTATTGCTTCTCATACAACCATTCGAGTCTGTTTATTTTCCTAGAAACATGTAAGAAAGTGCTCGTCAAGTCATCTCGAGCGAAATTCGAAATCGATCAAAATAACTTCCAAATAGAATAAGAAATATAAATAAAATCTCTTGGCGGATGGAGTGGAAAACAAACACGTCCTACACTTAGCCTCATTTAACTTTTATTTTAACAACATCATACCTGTAATTTACAACGCTATAACAAAGCCATTCGTTAAAAACAAAGCGAAATTGTTGCCGCGTAAATCTCACCAATGGTAAACAAAATTTATGCAGAAAACTTTGCTTATATGTGTGATTTACATGTACGTTCGTATAAGCTACACTTGCTTTAAATTAAATACTGGAATATTACAGTATCTCGCTATATGGCTGAACGTTGAAACTGCTATAACTTTTCACTAACAAGTTTTCAACTACTCTTTATGGATTAACAAATAATGTAACAAAAACGAAATTAATTTTTTTTCAACTTTGATAGCTTCCTATAATGCAATGAATAAAGTGGAAGTAGGAACTAGGGTAATTTCAAGTGAACTGACCCGGCGCCTCCACCAAAAATGCAACCTTTTCCAATTTCTTTTCCAAATAGTTTAAAACTTCGGTTTGGAATTTTTGCTTACATATTTAGTCAATAATAATTATTTTATTGCATGTTTGTAAAAAATTAAGTACCAGCATTGATTATTTAATGTGATTTCAATTTAAATCTACACGACAAATAACATTGTTTAAATTTTTTTAGTTTCTTTTAATATGTGAACCTTTCTAAATTGTGCATTAGTAAGAAGATTTAAAAGCAAGCTTATTTCATGTTATTGCAATAATCCAGTTACTTCCGTTTTTGGAGAAGTACCTTCCTCTCCATCATCACAATTTCAATGTTTGTACGTGACAAATTGGTGAACTTGTGTCGGAATAGTAGTTGCAATGTGCGCCAAGCACTACTGGTCATTTAACTACATATGTCTCCTGTCTTATTTGCGGAGAGGACGTTCGGCTTCCGTTTCCTGCTTACGTGAGTTTTAACCAACATTACTCGCAAAGATATCCTAAACTGAAGCAGCAAAATTTTCAATTACCGATTTTTGCAAAACATAAATTTTAAATGCGATACCATAGAACTTATAATGCCTCAAAAACAATTTAGCAAAACTTCTGACAAGTTGCATAATATACTTGCATAAGTCCATATTATATGAACAAGTATTTTACTGTCTTTTTACTGCCCTGGAACTAAAAAGTCGACAAATAAAAGTTAAAATTTTAAACTTGCAACGAGCCTGTATTTATTCTAAATTTTTAACCAACCTGACACAATTAAAATTTCACACAGGATTCGTGGTACATACATCGAGGATTTTTACTACCACTAATGATTTTAATCAAAAACGAATTAGTTTCTTGTGCACCTTGGAAAATAATTAAGTGGTATTTGATTACAGTCGGGAAGCACATTTGCATAATTTGAACAGTTGGTCTTCGCATATAAAATTATGACTCAATTAACGCAAAAGAATTTTTACATTTCTTTGAATGGATGTTCGAGAAGGCTCTTTTCAAACGCAAATTTCTATGAAATTTATTCAAGTTCAAAGGTTTAGTCGTATATACTAATTTTATTTATGATCTTGTACGAGTGTGTAGCAGATAATTTTCCCTAAATAGCCATAAACCACCAAACCGTAAAGTATCTCCTTGCATCACTAAAACCACTCAATCTTGAGGCGAATATTTGAGAGTATCCTAACAAAAAATTTATTCAATATTTTTTACATTTCGCTATTCACTCACAGATGAAATGAAATAACTTTTTCGATATTACTTTCTCCAGCGAGTGCAAACCTGCCAATTTAATATTTAATATTGTTATTACCAATTTTCTCTAAACGCAGTGTAAAATTGACAAATGTACTTTCTAAACTTTATTTATAAAATTTGATTTTATTCCTTTTTTTTGTGGGGGGAATTCCTGAATTTCTTTGAAACCTAAAAACATAAATGTTTAGTCACTCTACTGAGAAGATAAGCTACGAGTAACTTTAGTTTTTCACATGTGTTATATTTGAGTTGATAAATCTAAAACAACGTCTGTGAAATATGTTGACAAACAGTTTACAAAGCTTAGTTGAAACTTTATGAAACGCTTTAATACTACCTATATACCTTTACCTTCTGGAGAAGAAACTCTAGGGGTTAAGTTAATGAGTTGATAACTGCTAAGCGAGGAAATGTTTCTTAAATGAAAGCCAAAGAACAAGATATGAAACACAAATAAAACATCTAAGATGATGTTGCACTTTGTTTCAAAAGTTATTAAAAGTAAACACAAGTTTTAAGCAAGAAATTATGAAAAATCTGCAGTTATCTTACATTTAAGATCAAATTAAATCCACAAAATCCAAATGATTTGTTTTCATCAAAGGTCTACCTACAATAAAAATAAACGTTCTAATTTTGTTATCGGTCAGTTGCTTCTAAGCCAAATCATCCCTTTTTCCTCCCCAAAAATATTCAGAGTAAAAGTCGTAAAAAACGGTGCGGCGTGCAAGTGTGACTCGTGTCGTGCAAATCTCGTTTTGACCCTTATAAGAATTGAAGATGTTTCCATCAGACGCATATCCTGACGGCGGTTAAATTGGTAAAAATTCCAATCATGGCATGACGTTGAAGAGGAATGATCTTTTAACATCCCCCTTCGTGATTTTGCCGGTCAACTTCTCTCTATGAGACGTTCTTTTTTAACAATTTGGGGGTCTGGAGCTGTCAAGTGTCGAGAATGAAACTCTTTAAGTTGTTGACGTTTTGTGATATTGTGTGTTACGAGAAAGGAGGGGATGAAAGAGATGACTGGACGAGGAATTTCGTGTTCAAATGTCCTTGCTACATCCTCGCCACATTTACGCTACATTTAGTTCTGCAATTGAACGGAAATTTTTAAAATTTTTACTTGCACACTAATTTAATTTCAGAAAGAATTATATCTGGCAGCATTTCGCTTGTGAATTGGGTTTATCAATGCCAACAACAAACTCGTAGTAATCTACATATCAAAGAGAATTGTGATAAGTTACAGTCAGCTTAGATAACCGTGTATTACAACTTGAATAGTGCGGGCTTCTTTACACACAGCACTTTACAAAGTTTGTAATTTGTAATGTTTAGTGCTTGTTAAGATTTACTTGAAGAATTGATCTTACAGTTTTACGTGGACTAGCTAAGTAGCACAAATTGTACGAATAAATTATTTTAGTATCATGTCGGAGGAAATAAATTTATTATGCCTGTGGCACATCCAAAGAAGATGTACTTAGGACAACAACAAAAAGCAATATTAATTAAGTAGAATAAGTTTAAGTTGTTTGAAGCACCAAGTTTATGATTAATTAACTGAAGAAATAAATTTTAATCAACGACATAAAAAGATTCTTAATTTAATCTAAAGAGAAAGTTATTAAAGTCATGCAAAAGGTAAAAAAGAATAATTTATTTGCATAACAAATTTTTAGATTAAACCCGTTTTGAATGTTAAAATATTTTTTCAGAACTGAAAAAATGATGCTTAATTCGCTGGGAAAAATTGGACAACAAATAAAACATATTCAGAGATTGCTTTCAAAGAATGAAAAGAAAACAGAACGGATTTAAAATTTTGTTCCTAATAGATCTCTCGGTGTTTTAATGGAAAAGTTCAGTTCACAGATATTGCAAAAAATATTAAATAAATGTGCACCGGAAAATTTCTCGGTCCGAGTATAGCATCTAATTTTAACATTTGCATAGACAAGTTCGCTGAAATTAATTAAAATTCATCAAAGTTTCATTCAAAAATATGTACTGCAGCTTTGAAATATTCGTTGTGTTTATCAAATTGAAAATTGAACTTTTTATTTGAATTTCATGTTGCAAAACAATTTGTAATTATAAATTTTTGATCTATACAATCAAATATTTACCAGAAAATTAAAAAAAAACGGTTCTATTTTATTTTCGATTGAAGTGAGTTTAATTAGAATATAATTAAGATTTACAATTTTAATTTGAGACGTTGATGTAGCTGAATTCCGTTAACTCGCACCAATAACTCTCCCTTACACTCATAAATCCACAAACAAGTGTTCTTAATCTGTTGTGCATTTCTACACGCTGATGTATGGTATAAGTAGGAGTTATAATCTCCA